CTACATATGCAGCTCAGAGATGAATTATGGAATTTTTGGTGTTCCCTGCAAGCATTTCTTGCGAACAATTCATTCCCAAACTAGATAAAATCTCAGTAGTCGTACATGGATTGTTGGCTGGCTAGATTGGGATGGATGGGTGTGGGGGTGGAAGAATGGAGTTTGTTCTACCAGCCTTGTGTAGGTTTGGACAGAATATTTGGATTGGGGGTACTCTTTGGAACTTATGGTGGTGATCAATAGTGTGGGGCCTTTGGTTGTTGCTTCTACATACTTCATAAATAAATTTCTATATGTCTGCTGATGGCTAAATTTGGCCAAGTTCTCTTGCATTCTTAGATTAAAATCTCTGGTGACTGAAACCAACCAAGACCTGTGCAGAAGACAGAGTCTACCTTTTTTTCTTTTGGCTCACTGTGCTACATGTAAAATCCTTGCTGTGCCCAAACACAAAAAATAGCAAAACTGCAAAATGCTTTTTGCTAGTTTAATTCATTTTGGAAACCAAGATTCTCAAAAAAAAAAAAAAAAAAAAAAAAAAACCCTCAACAAGAGGATTAAGTTTGTTCGGCAGAATGATTTTTTCAGATTCTATTATGGAAAACATTAAACAAGAGAAAGACTGGAATAGTTCTCTGTTCCATTCTCTGCTTTGACAATGCAACTTTGCAGACATTTTTTAACTAGGAGAATAACCAGTTTCTTTGAACTATTCTCCTGGCAGGAGAAAAAAATGAAACCAACCACATAATGTATTAAAGAAAGAATTGGGTCCAAAAAGATTTGAAGTCTTCCTATTTCCTCAGTATATCCCAGTAGAACGTCTCTAGGGAGTATCTATTCAACAAATAAGTGGGAAACTTAAAAAATAAAGAGGGGAGGGCAAGGAAGCTACCATTTGCATATTCTGTCTGCCTTACTAGTAAAAACCTTTGGGATCAAGAAGTCTCTGGGCATCTAAGGTATATTTATAATTGTTTTTTAATTGCACTTGGATACCTTTGCAAACTGCCCTGGATATTTGGTTGAAGGACCTGGTTGGATTCTGGGTGTTATGCAGGGCTTTTTTTCTCATAGAACGCCCAGAACGGAGTTCCGGCACCTTTTTTGGATGGAACCTTGTAGGGTAGGCAAGGCTCGTTGTATGATGTGTGAGTTCCGGCACCTTTTTTTTTTTTTAACAAAAAAAGCACTGGTGTTATGATCAAAACCATTTACCACGTCTTGAAATTTGGGTCCCACAACTCCCCCATGTGAGCTCCTGAGTCTAAATAAGAACAATTAATGGCACAACACAAGGGACAATGCCACCACTGTGCACTTTGTGAAAAGAATTGAGTTGGATGATTGCACACCCACTCCTGTAATACCAAACATGTGTAGTCTCTCAACATAGTTCGTGTTTTCTGAGTTTATGTGCAAAGAAGAGCTTTTTTAAGGAGCTATTTTTTCTAAGAGCAATGAACATAGTTGTGAATAGTGATGAAAATCACTTTTCAGCTCTACCAGCTGGTTTGGACACATTCCACCATCTGCAATATGTTGAGAGAGCCTGAGACGGAAGTGGATTTTGCCTTGAGATTTACAAATTACTTTATCCCATACCACTTTGCCTGCCCAGGAGAAATGATTTTGTGCTGCATTTTTACTCATTTCTTCTCCATCCTAGGTTGTTGTTTTTTTTCATCAAAGGCTGCTTCAAAGGAGTGAGAAGAGCACATAATATTTTTTTTTCATTAGATATCAATAGAAGGTGTCTGAAGAATCAGGAAACTTCATCATAGCAGTTAAAACCCCAGGGGTGGATTCCTAAGGGGAAATTAAGTTGGCAATGAAATCCTCTTGTTCAATTCAGACTGTCATCGTAAACCTGCTTATCAGGTAGTGAATTCCATTGAATTTGAATAGGACTGCGATACATGCACAAATCAGACTGTGATTGAGCGGTGAGGTGGGGCAATGCTTTAGTGTGTGTTTGTGTGGCTTTTTTTAGATTAAAAAAAATTGTGCTGCTAGAAAAATAGGTGGCTTCCCTAAGTTTATCTGGTATTTCAGTTCTGAAATTTCAACGGCCGCCCCATCCTTCTCCGTCGTGTAACTGTATTTTGGGCCCTCAGAAACTGGCTCACATTTACACAACCGTGTAAACAATTATTGTGTTTTACATTTTTGCCCAAACCCAGCACAGACATGGCTACTGGACTAACTATCTTCCCCTTGTGCTTCATGCTCCCCCTCTGCCTATCTTTTAATTCATATTACAGTATTGTACTTTTATTTTTCACTGCTTCATTGCTTTGTTATTATTACGTTTACATTTTATCATTTTTTTTCCTGTTTTGCAATTGTAAGTCACCCAGGATGAGATGGGCAGCAAATAAATTTAACAAATAAATAAATAAATTTACTTCCAGTTTTCAGGAAAACTGGCCCATAATGAACAATTGGCTCGCTTAATGAACACTTCAAAAAAAGGTCATAAAATCGGGTCAGTCATGTGATGACTCACTGTATGACTTTCGTGACTTACAACCTTAAAGGGCAGACTTCATTACGTTCATACGTCTAGGACTACTTATATTAAATACTACTATTAACATATTTATTGATATAATACAATCTTGATATTTTATTAATGTATTTTGCAGAAGTAACATTTTCTCTTAGAGAACTACTAATATTCAGGTCTGGTTAGGAACTGTACTATAATCAAATGCTGGATACAACTTGAATTTTTATCAATGGTGAGTTGTCTTATTGTAAGGTGACCAACCATCCTCCTTTAGGGAGGACAGTCCTCCTTTGTAAGTTCTGTCCTCCCTCAAAAAGTGTCCTCCTTCATGTCCTCCTTTTTGATATTTGAAGACTAATCTGCAGGGGTTTTTTTTCCTCATAGAATGCTCAGAACGGCGTTCCGGCACCTTTTTTTTTGGATGGGTTTTGTTTTCAACTTTTGCATGAGCTGTGCTACTCCCCCTATTGGCTTTCGAAAGCCAATAGGAATTGCTGCTGAGCGCGCCAAAACACCCAGCTGGCAAACTTTGCACATGCAAGTTGTCTGTATTATTGTTGCAATGAATAAAATGTTTCTTTTATTTACGATATTTGTTTCTTCAATTTATTTGTCTCCTCCTTTTCATTGTAAAAAAGTTGGTCACCTTACTTATTGCTTTGGCAATTTTCGCCAAATTTCTAAAAGTTGTCCTTGCATGCAGACTGGAATCACCTCTGAAAAATTATTCAGTTGTTAATTGTACATACAGAATGTGAGGTTTTATGGACACCAAACACTTGTCCTACATGGATGGAGTTGCTGATCCTGTCCCTGAAGTTCAAGAACTCAAGTAAACGTGTTGCAAAACAGCTCCTGAACACCTCCTTGGAGATTCAGTATCAAATATCTTTTAATTATTATGTTTCATTTACAAAGCACGTAACATGCACTCGGTGGGGTACACCACATTAAGAACAAGACATAAGACAAACGTAATGGGGAAGGTAGAGGGGAAAGAATGAGCTCAAATACTGTGTTCTTATTACAACCAGCTGGAATAGGGACCAGCTAGATTCCAAGAGCAGCTGAATTCTTATACCTCTTTGGCTTCAGACCAGAGAAGGAGCAGCTAAAAAGAAAAATGGTACTCTTGAAGCAAAATCTGAGCTTCCAAGGATAGCGAGGAGAAAGGTGGCTTCATGTAATAATAATAATAATAAAGTTGGAAGGGACCTTGGAGGTCATCAAGTCCAACCCCCTGCTCAGGCAGGAAACCCTACACCACTTCAGACAAATGGCTGTCCAGTCTCTTCCTAAAAACTTCCAGTGTTGGAGCATTCACCACTTCTGGAGGCAGGTTGTTCCACTGGTTAATTGTTCTAACTGTCAGGAAGTTTCTCCTTAGTTCTAGGTTGCTTCTCTCCTTGATTAGTTTCCATCTGTTGCTTCTTGTCCTGCCTTCAAGCGCTCTGGAGAATAGCTTGACTGCCTCTTCTTTGGGACAGCCCCTGAGATATTGGAACACTGCTATCATGTCCCCCCTCGTCCTTCTCTTCATTAAACTAGACATACCCAATTCCAGCAACCGTTCCTTATATGTTTTAGCCTCCAGTCCCCTAATCATCTTTGTTGCTCTTCTCTGTACTCTTTCTAGAGTCTCAGCATCTTTTTTACATCATGGTGACCAAAACTGGATGCAGTATTCCAAGCGTGGCCTTACCAAGGCATTGTAAAGTGATACACGTCACGTGTTCTATCCCTCTCTTAATGCAGCCCAGCACTGTGTTGGCTTTTTTGGCCGCTGTAGCACATAGCTGGCTCCTATCTAAGGGATTGTCCATTAGGACTCCGAGATCCCTGTTCCTTGGCTCTTATTTCTCCCTGGCAGTTGACAACACAGCAAGGGCCCCACTGGATCAGACCAATTAGCCCTCTGAGGCCCCCAAAATCCAAAATGTGCACCCTTCCAACCAGAAAGCTAATCAATGCTTCAATGTACTCTCCTGTTCCAGTGAATTGACTGTCAAATATTAGGGAACCTTTTCATTCTGTGCTGAGAAGTTTTAACAATTGGGGCAAACAATCTCCAGGAATTGGCTATGAAATTTTTAGTAATCCTGGCATGGGAATTAAAAAAAAAATCCATTATCACTATAGAAAAATCCATCGGAACCCCACCCCCAACTAGTCATACCTCACATTTTACTTTTTAAAAATATCATTTCCCCATTCAGTTTATTTAAAAGGGGAAAAGAGAAGAAATAAATACAGATACTTCAGCGACAAGATTCTAAAGGCACGCTGATCTCCCAAAGCTACCGTGTTACTGTGCTGCAAGGTTTCAGTTAAATGAATGGGAACATGAATTTAGCATACTAAATTGACTACAGGATTGTATCACTATTTACTGGGGCCTCACAAAAGGATCACAACCTTCCCATGAAATCCCACTTCGGATTCACTTCATGGTTTCTTGTGCTTGAGAGTCTAAGCGAGGACAGTACACTTTTACCAGGATAAGCCATAACCACTTTATACTGTACATTCAGTACAATCCATCTGTTGATTTTCTTTTTCCTGTAGCATTTAGGGAAGCCATTAAAAACACACATGTTCCTATATGAAAAGGAGAGCAAAACAACACCTCACAGCTTTGTATATACAAATATCTAGCATCTTCACCTAGAACAGTGTTTCCCAAACTTGACAATTTTAAGGCATGTGCACTTCAGCTCCCAGAATTCCACAGCCAGCGTTGCTGGCTGTGGAATTCTGGGAGTTGAAGCCCTCATGCCTTAAAATTGTCAAGTTTGGGAAACACTGACCTAGAGGTCTCCATCTATCTTCTGCCCTGACAAATGCAGCCCCAAAATTCGAGCTTTGCTCCACTGAATGTTATCAACTCACTTGTCAGTTAGGTGAAGATTGGCCATGGAGAAGATACCCTCCATTCTCAAGAAAATTTGAGATTGGCTAAAATCAGCCTCACAAAACATGATTGTTGAAATCAAGTTCTTTGCTTGCCTTGCAAAACCAGCGTTTCTCCACTTGAGCAAGTTTATGATGTGTGGACTTCAACCCCCAGAATTCCCCAGCCAGCACATCTTAAAAGAACCAATGTTGAAAAATACTGGCCTGCCAACAAACAAGGAACTCCTAATGGAAAGTTGACCATGGAGGAAGGGGTTTGGCAACTGGTGATAAGAACATTGATCCTATATTATCTGCTAAAAACCAAGATGAAGAGTAAGCTCTCTGATGTTTTCAGAGCCTCCATCCAGATCACTTTCACTTACAGGACAATGGGAGTGGAGCCTAAATTAACAGAGCAAGGAAATATGAAGGAAATCATTGGTTTTGAGAATTATAGTGGCTGTGCTTCTCACCATCCCTTTCAACAAGTAGTTGGGAAGTTTATACAAGTTGTTGTCCCTGGAGGTCATCTTTTGCCTCCTACGAGGAAAAAAACACGGACCATAGGAGCCACCCATTCCTCAACGGTCTGCAGAATTCACTTCTTGCTGGTTATTCCTCCACGTCTTGCCTCTTCAAAGTCTTCTCTTTGGCAGGTGAATGTCTACAGGGACAAATGTCACTGCACTGTTCCTGGCAGAGGTGCTACTGTCCTGTCCTAAAACTGAGGGAATGGCCGTCTTCACGTTCTTTGGCTCCAGCTCTCGTTTGGTCCTCATGTGCCTACAAAGAACAAAGCAGACCTTGTGTTAGCGTGCTGGTTGTGCAGCAGAAAAGACAAGAAGCTGTGGCCCCTGAAAGCTAAACACCCCTGTCGTAGATCAGCTTTTGCAAACCACAGTCCTGATACACAGGCCGTTCTTCTGAGAACGTATCCAGAAGATGAGGCCATTTAGCAGAATTTTCCTGAAATTCTTTTTTCTTTTTTTGAATGAACTTTACAGGGCAATTTTTTAAAAATCAAATTAAATGAGAAAGAATAGGAATAGAATAGAATAGAATAGAATAGAATAGAATAGAATAGAATAGAATAGAATAGAATAGAATAGAATAGAATAGAATAGAATAGAATAGAATAGAATAGAATGACCTTGGAGGTCATCTAGTCCAATCCCCTGCTCAGGCAGGAAACCTTATACCAGGGGTAGGCAACCCTGGCTCTTTTATAACTCATGGACTTCAACTCCCAAAATTCCTGAGCCAGCATGGCTCAGCTTGGAAACCTCTCCCTTTCCCCTCAGCATGGCTGGCTCAGGAATTCTGGGAGTTGAAGTCCATGAGTCATAAAAGAGCCAAGGTTGCCTACCTTTGTCTTATCCCATTTCAGAAAAATGGTTGTCAAGTCTTCTTTAAAACTTCCAGTGTTGTAGCACTGGTAGGGGGTAGGGGGATTGTAGATCTTTTTTCTCTTATACCCATTCTTCCCCGAATTCTCTGCAGTTCTAAAAATATACAGGCACTTCTCAACTTACAACCATAATTGGGATCAGAATTTCTGTTGCTAAGCAAGATGGTTGTTAAGTATATTACACTGAACTGTATACCCTTTTTTTACTACGATTGTTAAGCAAATCACTGTGGTCACGTGCATTGTGTGGTGGTTAAGAAATTTGGCTTCTCCCATTGACTTTGCTCGTTGGAAGCCAGCTGGGAAGGTTGCAGATGGCGATCATGTGACCCCAGGATGCTGCAACCATTGCAAATACATGATGGTTGCCAAGCGCCTGAATTCTGATCACGTGACCATGGGGATGCTGTGAGGACCAGTCGTAAGTCATTTTTTATGGTACCGTTGCAACTTGAAACGGTCATTGAATGAACAATTGCAAATTGATGGCCTACCTGTATACTATACAATGAGAATGCTCAGCAAGTCCTGATGTCAACTGCATCGAATTGGAAAAACAAAGAGACGACCTGCTAAATCAGCTAGCCCTCTTAAGAAAACAGCAACTGAAAGCCCTTATCAATATCAAACAATAGCCACAATAATACAAGGAGATCTTTTTCATGATTTAAAAGCGAAGATACAAAAGATGATTTGGCAGAGGAAAAAAGCTAGAATAAGACTGAAAGGGATTGGGGTTTTGATTTATACATGAGATCCAAAATAGAATATATCTAAATGGATAGAATATGTATTCTGAATATATTGCAATGATTTGAGATAAAAAAAAATTGGTTTTATAAAATCTAGAAATACAAATATTGAAATAAGAATATTATATTGTTTTATTAGTTTGTTAAGATATATGGTAGAATTTATATATAAGGTCTGTATTTTAAATATTAGATTGTATGAGGTATTGTGATAAAGGAATTGTGCTTAATTAAAATTTGAAAAAAAATAAATAAATATTAAACGTTAAATTAAAATATTAAGGGAAAATTAACCACCAGGTCACTGATTTGCTAAAAGTTTGAATGTTTACAGATAACTAAGATTTGAGATTAAGATATTGTTATGAGTTGAGACACAGGTTAAGTAAAACTTAGAAGTATAAATACTAATAATTAAATTCGTATATTGGTTTGTGGTACAAATGATGATGGTTTATTTTTTTTTCTCTTTTTCTGGAAAGGAAGAAAGGAAGGAAGTAGATGGAAGAAAAGTAAAAAATTATTAGCCCTAAATATGAGATAGGAGACTTAGAAATTGGGGTCATTTAAAATCTGGAAATGATAAAGATTAAACGTTAAATTTAAATATCAATGGGAAATTAAAATTAAGAAAAACTTAGGTTATTGTCTAAAAGATGGAATGTCAAATTAATTAAGATACGTATAGACTGAAGATTATTGATGAATACTAGAAAGGTATTTTTTGTTTGATTGATAGAATAAGAACTGTATTGATGTGAATATGACAGTAGATTTTATGGGGGAAAGAGAGGGAATTAGTTGTTGTAATACTTTGAGATTTGTACTGATGATATTTAAATGTAATGGAATTACTGTGCTCAACCGCCACGCTACTTTTCAAATATGTAAATGCAATATTGGAAAATTAATAAAAAACTTGGAAAAAAAAAGCAAGTCCTGATGTGGCTACTTTAATTTATTAGATTTGTAAGGCTGTCCAGCTCAAAAAAACTTGGGGTGATGTATAATATTAAAAACAGATCACAAATAGCCATGAACAAAAGAGATTCATTGTCGCTAGACATGCTCATTGTTTAATTAAATCAGTCAGTCTGATTTATTTATCGGGCTTTTTGGTTGCTTTAATCAGAAGCAGCTCTTGGCCAGCTCCTCTCTCTATTTGTGTTTTTGACAAACAAAAATGGCACGTTAGCTTGCAACATCTCACAGAAAGGAAAATGGCAGAGTCCCTGAATGTAAAAATGTGATGTCAGTGAAAGGATTTTATTGTGCTTATGATTTTAGTATGTTTAAGTTTGACATTAGCATTTATTTTATATATAGTAACCATTTTATATTGATAATTATAGTGTTATCATGTAATCATTGTTTTGTTATTTTGTAATCATTATTTTGTAGTTAATTGTAGTTAATTCCAATATATATATATTGGAAAAGTAAGGGCTTCATGCTTTAGGTATAGGTGATTGCTTATATGAAAAGAGCACAGTAAGGGGAGGGGGAAAAGAAGTTACGGATGGAGCCTGGGTTGCTGTGTATGAGTCATCATTTAGGAATTATTTTTGGGTGCCATCTTATGCCTAGTACCAAGACCTGATCTCTTTGTTCTGAAACGGTATAAAAGGTGGAAGACATCTTTTCTGGTTGTTGCCTTCATCTCTCTACCAGCCACGAAGAGAGATGGGGTCACCCAACTCTGTTTTGATCAAAATAAAAGTTGTTTGCTTGCTGAAACCTCAGCTCAGGAGTTTCTTTGGCTCTTTTAAATTCCTGAGTAATGCTGGGGCCATTGTGAGGTTAAGTGGAAAACCTTACATCCGCAGGATTTATGAGGTAAAAATGCCCAGAGAACACATAATCAGAATACAGGTACCGTATTTTCCGGCGTATAAGACGACTTTCTAGGCATGGAAATCGCCGCCAAAGTCGGGGGTCATCTTATACTGCCGAGTCGCCTTATACGCCGGAAATTAAGGTAGTCCTTGACTTACTGCAACTGAGTCCAATATTTCTGTTGCTAAGCAAAACATTTGTGAAGTGAATTTTGCCCCATTTTGTGACCTTTCTTGCCACAGTTATTAAGGGAATCTCTGCAGTTGTTAAGTTAGTGGCATGGTTGTTAAGTGAATCTGGCTGCCCCACTGATTTTGCTTGTCAAAAGGTCAAAAAACCTGATCACTGGACACTGCAACAGTCATAAATATGAGTTAGTTGCTAAGCATCTGAATTTTGATCACGTGATCACGGGGATGCTGTAATGGTCATAAGTGTGATAAACGGTCATAAGTCACTTTTTTCAGAGCCGTTGTAACATAAATGGTCACTAAATGAACTGTTGTAAGTCGAGGACTACTTGTAATAGCTTTCCTCGGACACAATGGGATAAAAATAAGCGCATGCACACAATATCATCAGTGCAACGATGTTGTTATATATGCAATGTCATTGCTTCCTCGCACTCCAGATACCTATGAACAGAGTGATTGCATCCAGTCAGTAAATTGTTCTCCTGAAGAATGAAAAGAACTGACTACTAACCTGTTATACATTTTAAGGATGAGCAGAACTGTTGTAAATATTACTACAACGCCCACAACAATAGCTGCTACTATTGCTCCAGAACCTGAGGAGAAAGAAAAATAGCAACCTGATAAAGCAGATCTGTATATATGTGCAGGCTTTTTAAATACAGCTCAGTTGCCAGCTCATCATAAAATATAATTCCCATGTTCTAGGACGTGTACAAAAATATCCCAAAATGTTATCTTATTTTTGACTGTTTTGTCAGGAACATTACTTTTATTTACTATAAGTTTAATTTACCCTTGAGAGAAAATTGAGGTACAAGTAACCCTCAGCTTACTCAGTGTGTTCATTTAATTTGTGTAATTAAGGCAGTGATGGCCTTACAGGTTTTTTGGGGGGAGAGAATGTCCTTATGTTCCCCATGGAACAAATTTACAAATTTTTACTAATTTCATTTATTTGTGCCTTTCAGTCAGCATCAGATTGGTTCCTGCAAATATTTGGCAATATTTTGGAAGTAGTTTGCCATTGCTTCCTTCTTAGAGCTGACAGAGAAGAATTGGCTCAAGATTGCCCAGCTGGCTTTATGCCTAAAACAGGATTAGAACTCTTGATCTCCCGGTTTGTAGCTTGACATCTTAATCACTACACCAAACTGGCTTTCTTTGGTAAATCAGCAACTTACCAGTTCGGACATATCTGATTTTATTTTCTTAATGCATGGCCTAACATGACAATTCAGGTACCTTGGATTATGATAACTGTATTTTCAGGTTTATGTTATGGATTGAAAATGAAAGCAAAAAGGGTTACATTTTATTCCTCACTGTATCTCCTCATTCCATCTTTATATACCACCATCTGACACCATAGATTAAAACTTATGGCTATAGTTTACTGAAATGAAACATTTAACTCCTTTAGGATCAAAAATATATTATGTTGTTGTTGTTAGTTGCGAAGTCGTGTCCGACCCATTGCGACCCCATGGACAACATTCCTCCAGGCCTTCCTGTCCTCTACCATCTTCTGGAGTCCATTTAACTCACGCCTGCTACTTCAGTGACTCCATCCAGCCACCTCATTCTCTGTCGTCCCCTTCTTCTCTTGTTCTTGATCTTTCCCAGTGTTGCGTCCTTGGCGGGAAAACAGACACGAGAAGCAGCTGGAGTTCTCAGGTTCTTTTATTCAGCGTTCAGCTTACAGGAAGATGGCTTCAGCTCAGCCCAAACGCCTCGCAGCCCCTTATATAGGCAACTCCCGGGTAAATGGGTTACTTTTCCCGCGCCAGCACCCGCGCATGCGCACGGCGCTGGCGACAGCCTGTCTGGTCCCGGGCAGCTTTGCACCTGCCCGGGACTGCCTGCAAACGCCCGAGCCGTTTGCAAAGGCTCGGGACATAACACCCCTTTCCCCCGGGCTAAAACTACTACCAACAGACAGCATTTATTTTATATAACATTTTGCTCCCCAGTGCTCCCACTGTTTACTGGCCTTTGCCTTGCCAGCAATGTTATGTAGTCTTCTAGGTACTTGGGAGATTTCTTTGCTCTCTGTGACCTTCTTAGCTCTGGGTTACTGGCATAAGTCCCCTGACTGGAGGGAGGCGTGAGCCTATTCTCTCTATTGTGCCCTGGTGTCTTCCAAGGACTGTGCCCCGATGCCTGGCCTGCTTGCTTGCCCACCGGGCTCGTCAGGCCAGGGCTTCTGTTGCTTTGTGACCTGGTTGACCTGCCTAGCTGTAGACCCTCAGGCCCCTTGAAGTGATAGCCGCTGCTGGGCGTCTCTGTAGGACCTCCTAGGTCAGTCCAAGACCTGTCAGGAGGCTGTCCATTCCCTGAACCCCATTCTGTGTTTGGGCTCATGTGGGTTTCTGTACTCTCCCAAAACTCAGGTGTCCCCTGATTTGTGCTAGGGGTGTTGTAGTCGGGACTTGGTTCCTCGACTAGCTCTGTGTATGTTTGACCCTCTGTAGGATTTGGGGTAAGGTCAGGCCAACTTTGGGGATTGTGTGCCAGCTCTCTTGCGGGGAATGATTTGTTGGGATGCCCCCGGGTATCCTCCGTGACTGGAGTGCTGTGTGATATGTGTGGAAAGTGAGTATGCCCCCGGGGTGACTCCCTGGCTGGAGTAGGCGTGGATGCCTGTTGTGTGGGTAAGCTCCATGACTTCCTTTTCGGAGCAATTGCAGAATCTTGGGACGGGCCGTCTGTGGCTCCCTCAGTGGAGATGGGCAGTAACTCTTGCCCTTCCCTTTGCTCCAAAGGGTCCCCCTCCCCCCCTGGAAAAGACCCAGGAGTTTCAGCAGAAAAGTCCCGCCTAGAGCGGAGTTGGTCGATGTGCCGACGCAGGACACGACCGTTGTCCAGGGCAACCTCGTAGGAGAGAGGACCTGTGATCCTGGACACAGAAGCGGGGACCCATGTATGACCAGGCCCGTAATTGCGAGCCCAAACCGGGGCACCCACAAGTAGTTGTCTAGGTGCCCTAGGATGTGAGGTAGATGAAGGCAGTCTGTCCGGATGCAACCGGTCAAGTCTCGTAGTAAGTTGGCGCCCCCAACGAAGTTCAGCTGGACTTCTCCCTGTAGAAGTGGACGGTGTGGTGCGATAAGAAAGGAGAAAGTCAGCCAACCTGTGATGCCAGTCCCCGTAGGTGAGTCTCTTCAAGGCGTCCTTTGCGATGCGCACCATGCGTTCAGCCATACCGTTGGTGGATGGGTGAAAGGGCGCAGATGTGGCATGACGAATCAGGTTTGCCTGTAAGAAAGCTTGGAATTCGGAGGAGGTGAATTGAGGGCCGTTGTCAGACACAATGACATCTGGCAGCCCGTGTGCAGCAAAAATCCCCCTCAGTACCTGAATAGTCTTTGCAGTGGTGGTGGACGAGACAGGCACAACCTCAAGCCATTTTGAATGGCTGTCAACAAGGACCAAGAAGAACTGGCCCTGAAAGGGCCCAGCGTAGTCAATGTGCACCCTAGACCATGGGGACTGTGTTTCCTCCCATTTATGCACAGGAGCTTGGGGCATCTCTGGGCGAGATCGTTGGCACATGTGGCATGCGTGTACCTTAGCCTCAATATCTTTATCTAAAGCAGGCCACCACAAGTGGCTGCGTGCAAGAGCCTTCATGCGAACAATGCCAGGATGACCCTCGTGGAGGGATTCTAAGACCCTAGTCCTCATTGAGGTGGGAATGACAACTCTGTTTCCCCAAAGCAAACAACCCTGAGAAAGGGACAATTCGTTCCTTTTGGACCAGAAACTCTGAAACTCAGGACTAGGGCAGTGCTCAGGCCACCCGGACAGGACCCAGGAGCGGACACGTGAAAGTGTGTGATCTGTACCTGTTTCAGCGGTAACATCCCTGGCACTAAGAGGAAGCTCGGGCAAGGCTTGGATTGATAGAATGTTGACAGCTGGCGCGGGGTCAGCTTCTACTACTGGCAGAGGCAACCTACTGAGGCCATCAGCATGGCCCATTTCTTTCCCAGGCTTGTGGAGTAATGAAAAATCATATGCAGACAAAAAATAGACCACCTAAGCATTCTAGGGGAAATGATGTGGGGAGTCTGCTTACGTGTGGTAAACAGTCCCAGCAGAGGCTTATGGTCAGTGAAGACCGTGAAATGCCTGCCATATAGAAAATCGTGGAATTTTTTAATTCCAGCAACAACAGCCAGAGCCTCCCTGTCTATCTGAGCGTAGTTGCGCTCGGCAGAAGACAATGTTCTGGAGTAGTATGCAATAGGAACCTGAGTTCCATCAGACCTGAGGTGACTCAGGACAGCTCCAACCCCGTAGGGGGATGCATCACAAGCGATGCACACAGGAAGAGACTCGTTGAAATGTGCAAGAACACTGTTAGAAGTGAGCAAGGCCTTGACTTCTTTAAAGCAAGCCTCATGTGCTTGTGACCACAGCCACACAGCTTGTTTGTCTAGTAGCCTGTGAAGAGGCTCAGCTACACTAGCTTTATGTGGAAGAAAAGAATTGTAGAAATTCAGGAGGCCTAGGAAGGCCTGAAGTTCGGCCTTAGACTTTGGCCTGGGTGCTTCTAAAATAGCAGTTAGTTTGGATTCAGCAGGATGAATCCCAGCAGCATCAATTTTGAATCCCAGAAATTCAGTAGAAGGCACCCCAATCTTGCATTTGTCTTTTCTGAGCTTAAGGCCTGATTTCCTGAATCTTAACAGGACAGCCCTAAGCCTTTCAGCTAGAATGTGTGTGGAGTCTCCTGCAATCAAGACATCGTCAAAGTAGGGGCAGACCCCTGGTATACCTCGTAGTGTGTTTTCCATTACGCTTTGGAAAATCCCAGGAGCGACATTTACTCCAAACTGTAGCCTTTTTACCTTAAAGGCTCCCCTGTGGGTCACAATGGTCTGAGCTATGGCAGCATCATCATCAACAGGCAGCTGTTGATATGCTTGAGCTAGGTCAAGCTTTGCAAAAACACGCCCCCCCTTGAGAGAGGCCAGGATGTGACTGACCACAGGAACAGGATAGGCATGTTGCTGCAATGCCTTATTGAGTGTGCATTTGTAATCAGCACAAATGCGAATGTCCCCATTTGCCTTTAGAGGCGTGACAATGGGGGTCTCCCATGGGCTGGAATCAACAGGTTCTAGGATTCCTTGTTGGATTAGTTTGTCTAATTCAGTGTCAATCTTACTTTTTAAAGCAAAAGGGACCCTTCTTGCTTTAATCCTAATGGGAGTGACAGTGGGGTCTAGCTTTAAGGACACAGGTGGTCCTTTGAATGTGCCCAGCTGGGGGCTGAAAACATCTGCAAATTCCTTGCAGACTTCCTGTAGGTCGAGTGTTTGTAAGCTGTTGAGTCCTGTGACGTGTATCCCCAGGGCCTCAAACCAATCGAGTCCTATGAGACTCGTTCTTTCACCCCCTACTACTAACAAGTCTAGTGGACCTTCAAAACTCTTGTATTGCACGTTAAGGGTGGCCTCCCCCTTAACACACACTCTTGAGTTCTGAAAATCTGTTAATACAATATCAGAAGGCCTTAACTTGGCCTTAGTCCCACTACTGGAACAAATCTTCCTAAATGTATGCAATGAAATGATGGAAAGGGCAGACCCTGTGTCTAGTTCCATAGATAATGGAACCCCTTGTAGCTTCACGTTGAGTGACAGCTTTTTCTTCATGGGCTTGTGTGTGCCTGTCCTACAAATGTTTCTACGCGAAGCGCAAAAACCTACCCTATTCTGGCTGGGGACTCTGGTACCCTTCAGGCGTTCTTCTTGAGGTTGTGCCTTTCGTCGGCCCAGACACACAGCTGCAATGTGCCCTTGTTTGCCGCATGCCCGGCAGGTAGCGGAGCGGAACTTGCAGTCGGTTCTCCTGTGGCGACCTCCACAGCCGATGCACTTGAGCGGAGCTGAAGAGCTTTCCTTCGGATTTTCTCCCTTCGCGGGGTGTAGACGGTCGACTTCTTCGTCCGGATCCTCCTCGGAGTTTCGTCGGACGTCTTCTTGGTGCACGGACGCACCCTCTGCACTGCTTCTGATCGGCCGCATGTTCTTGACGGCGCCGCCTGCTGCTTCTTCCGCGGTGGCTTCCCTTAAAGCGTCTTGGAAGGATAATTCTTCCTTAGCGAAAAGTCTCTGTTGTAGCTCTCGATGCCTCAACCCGCACACGAATCGGTCCCTCAGTCGTTCCTCGAGGTCCTTGAACTCGCAGGGCTTGGCGGCCTTCCGTAACGCGGCGATGTATTCCTTGGCTGACTCACCGGACCGTTGATCCCTCTGTTCGAAGATGGGGCGCCATGAGATAACGGACACCTTGGGGTTGAAGTGCTCCTTCAGCAGCTTCTTCAGGTCTGCGTAGCTTACAGACTCTACTGGGACAGGTGCTGCAAGGTTTTCTGTGATTTCGAAGGCGTCTTGGCCGCAAACGCAAAGCAGGGTGGCTGCCTTCAAGCTATCTTCCCTCACTTGGTTTGCCTTGAAGTAGTTCTCCATTCTGGATACGTAGGACTCCCACCGCTCTGGATGTGAGACGTCGAATTCCGAAAGCCTTCCGATTTTCGCCATCTTCGGATCTTCAGGAGACGGGTCTATCAGCCAGCCTACCCCCGAATGCGCACCGGATTGGCGGGCAGCTGCCGAGTCGACGCCGTTCCTCTTCCGCCGCTCAGGACTCCTTGGGTAAGCTTACACTTCTTCCTTTCCAGGTAGTGCAAGGCATCCCACCTTCGTCGCCAGTGTTGCGTCCTTGGCGGGAAAACAGACACGAGAAGCAGCTGGAGTTCTCAGGTTCTTTTATTCAGCGTTCAGCTTACAGGAAGATGGCTTCAGCTCAGCCCAAACGCCTCGCAGCCCCTTATATAGGCAACTCCCGGGTAAATGGGTTACTTTTCCCGCGCCAGCACCCGCGCATGCGCACGGCGCTGGCGACAGCCTGTCTGGTCCCGGGCAGCTTTGCACCTGCCCGGGACTGCCTGCAAACGCCCGAGCCGTTTGCAAAGGCTCGGGACATAACACCCAGCATCAGGCTCTTCTCCAGTGAGTCCTTCCTTCTCATTAGGTGGCCAAAATACTTGAGTTTCAACTTCAGGATCTGGCCTTCTAAAGAGCAGTCGGGGTTGATCTCCTCTAGGACAGACCAGTTTTATCACCTTGCAGTCCAGGGGAGTCGCAGGGTTCTCCAGCACCATAGTTCAAAGGCATCAATTCTTTAGCACTCAGCCTTTTTTATGGTCCAACTTTCACAGCCATACAACTGGGAAAAACCTGGCCTTGACTATGCGCACTTTTGTTGGCAGGGTGATGTCTCTGCTTTTTAGTATGCTGTCTAGATTTGTCATAGCTTTCCTCCCCAGGAGCAAGCATCTTTTAATTAATAGTATAACACCCACCAATACTCCCATCAACACTGACAGGGCAAGCCACTTGTACATAAACAGAGAGCATGACAGCCCATTCCCCTCTAGCACTGATGGTGTTACTTAGTTGGGTAATGAAACGTCTGTGTCAGAATCCAATTATATTTTATTTCTATCTACCTACTCTGATATAAAACCAATTCTTACTCTCTTCTGGATTCTGTCATACTACGGAAGGGGAAGAGGGTAAGCATGGGGATTTTATGACTCTCACTTCCTTCATTAACTACAAAGTGACCAATAGTTAATTCTCTTTGAGAGGACTAACCATAACAATGCGGCCATCGCCTTTCATCTTATTCCCTCTGAAGTTCTCCCCTTTGCCGGCAGTGAGGTAAAAGGGGGGGGGGAATGCAACACCTGGGATCTGGGAGAAGAGAGAATGAGTGATCGTGCCACGGAGCGGACTGATGCATTGAATCACCCGGAAGAACTGTGGGGTGGGGGCTGCTTGGGAACACTTTAAAACATTGAATGGTGGGAGAGGATTCCCCCAGATCCTGTCTAGCATGCCTGCAATCAGTTTCTCTTAATAAAGATTCCTGTTGGAAGAGACATTCCAAGAGTTCTGTCTTCTTAAGATGTAAATTGAGGTGGGTCCTTACAGTCTGCAAGAAAACAATCAAACTCAGAGAGCACCAAGGACCCCCACCTACGCATTTTCAATTCAGTTTCCGATTGAAAGAATTGTTAATTGTCACCTCTGCAGCAACTGGGACCTTGTCAGAGCAAGTACAGAGCTGTTTCATTCAGATCCTGAAGATGTTTCTTTTACTCCCATTCACACATTAGTGGTGAAAAACCCAAGGTCCATAAAATCTCCCAATGGCACCCCTGCCCTTTCTTACTCTGATAAAGGATTTGCTCTCGAGACTTTGTGGTCACATTCCTCCAAGGCAGGGAATAATCGGACGTTGGGGCAGCTGTGGTCATCTTGATTCCAGCTAGGCAGAACAACGAAACAACATTACAATGATGCAAAATCAACCAGTAGGAGAATCATAAGAGAGGCACCAACATCAGGCAAATGAAACAGCATTTGCTGCAACTGATACAGCACACAAACTTTCTGGTGTCACAAACCACATCTGTTTTGTACAGATGATCACACTACGCATCGGAGTGGTTATAAATAACCAATTAAAACCACATTATGTTCATGGTCAGCCCCCTGTTCTAAGGATCTCAGGGTGAGTTGCAATTCATTAAAAAAAATGATGGAAAAAAATGCTGGCTAAGGAATTCTGGGAGTTGAAGTCCGCACATCTTAACGTTGCCAAGTTTGAGAAACCCTGATCTAAAGGGACTATATGCAAAAGGGAATAGAGCATCGTTCCATTCTTGTCTTGGTCTTTAAGAACTTGTCCACTTTGAAGTTTTTGTAATGGCTGCATGGCAGTGCTTCATCTTCCACGCTCAGCTAAATGCTCCCACCTAATTAGACATAAACATGAAGCACAAACAGGTAGTCCTTGACTTGTCACCATAATAATTGAGTCCAGAATTACGATTGTAAGTCATGTCAATTGTCATCACGTGTCCTCGGGTGGTCATACATGTCAGACACTTTACTTCTTTTGTGCACCGGTCGTTAAGTGAACCCAGCAGTTATTAAGGAAATCCATTGTCCTCAATGGATGTTTTTTGCCAAAAACTGGAAGTAAACATCGGTTTCTGGCAATCACGGTTGTGTGAATGTGCGATGCTGCAAGTGGCTGTTATACAGGCAGAATGCTGAGCGCTTAAAATGTGATCACTGGGATGGGGGCATCCATCAGAATTTTGAATCCAGGTCATAAATAAAATGGTATCATCTTTAAAAAGCACAATCTGTTGATAAAGATCTTAAAATAAGGGAAGTGAGCATTAATAACAGCAGTCATGAATGATAATGCAATAACTCCAGCATCCTGAATTTAGCATCTTGACGCAATATAGGTAGTCTCCACTTATGACCACTCCTTTAAAAATGGTTCAGAGTTATGACAATGCTGAAAAAAGTGACTTATCCCCAGTCTTCAAGGTTACGACCATCACATCATACCCACAGTCATGGGATTGTTATTTGGGTGCTTGGCTACCTGCTCACATTTATGAGGGCTGCAATGTCTTGCCATCTTCCAACAAGCAATGTCAATGGGGAAAGCCAGATTTTCTTAACAACTCTGTGTATCACTTAAATCAGGGCTTTTCAACCAGTGGTACGGGTACCACCTGTGGTACATTGGCACCTGGCAGGTGGTACATGACCATCCTAGAAAAATGGTAGTGGGGGGGGGAAATGAGCTGAACCGGTGGCAGCACCACACAAGCCTGAGCGAGAGATGGCTGGAGCTGCAGGGCTGACAGGGCTCAGTGCAAGCACCAGATGAGTGCTTCTTCGGGGCTGTCAGGGCTCAGTGGAAGCACTAGGATCAACGCCAGGCTCCAGCTGGAGCTCGGCGCTGATCCTGGTGCTTCTGCTGAGCCCAGAAGAAGCGCCGATCAGCTGGAATGTTGCAGCATCTCCAGGGTCTTGTGATTTACATTCAGATGCTTGGCAACTGATTCATATTTATGATGGTCACAGTGTCCCAGGGTCATGTGAAGTGACCAAAACCTGCTGCAACCACCCAGCAGACGGGGGGAATAAAAACCAAACATCCCCTCAACCCCACCCCCCACTGCCAATCCTCAACAGAAATGCTCACAACAATGAAAACCTCAGACAGGAGGAAGAGCGCCGCCGGGTGGGCAGACAGGTGTCTTGCTCGGCTGTGGCTTGGAGGGCACTTTTTTCAGTGCCATTGTAACTTCGAACAGTCACTAAGCGAACTGTTGTAAGCTGAGGACTATCTGTACTTCATCACTTTTTTCCCTTTTTTTGTCATCAGGTTTTTGACACCTTGCTAGGCGACTGGTGGTACTCGGATATTGCCATATCCTAAAAGTGGTACAATGGGTGAAAAAGTTGAAAAGCCCTGACTTAAATGACTACATTGTTCACATAATGACTGTGTGATTCGTTTAAAGACCACAGTAAAAAGGATGGTAAAATTGGGTCTGGTCATATGATCCCTGGCTTAACCATCCCATCATTTAGCCAGTCAAATTGAGGTCCCAGCTGTGGTTCTACACATACAAAAACTTTTGCCAAGGTTTACCAGAGGCAAAAATGGGATAAGTGTACATGATAATAAACAGCAGGTGCTTTTTCAAACATGTTAATGATCTGAAAACAACTTTATTGTTTATTTCTTGCCTCTGTGTTCGGCTGCAGATGTAATTGCAGGAAATGCACCCCGGTTAGCAAATGTTTTCAAATTGTCTACCTTGAATAGACAGGATGGGTCTTTTTTAAAGCTTGAAAGTAAAATCAGCAGTCATATGGCCATCCCCAGGGCGGAAGAAATGTTTAGAAAAAAAACCACAGCTGGCTGTAAAAGGCTGGTGAACGGAACCGGCAGCTGCTCTTACTGAAACTTATAAGTCCGCTCTCTAATGCAGCATTTCTAAATGAAACTTCAGTAGCACAAGTAAAAACTAATGGGGAACCTGAGCTCATTGCCAGCAGCATGCCTCCCCCCCCCCCACCGTATTGGTGTCTCTTGAAAGTTTTGGACCCAAGCTTTTAAAGTGGTACCTGGAAAAATATTAATGGTCTGACAAAGAATATGGGTAAAAAGCAGATGGCCCACCAAAGATTGTGTGTGTAAGGGAGGTTTGTTTTGCTTACAAGACAACTCTTAAATTTAGGATAGCCAGACATCCTGTTCCCAGCTCTGCACATGATATATTACTAACTGCTTGTCACATGGTGTATCTAAATTGCTTAACACTTGATATATTGCTGATTGCTAAAAACATTCCAATGTAAACGAGGAGCTATCCATTATAGATCTGTCTAGTAGTTTTTCTATGTTAGAATAAGGACCTATAGAATGTAATGTGACCTGAAAATAATCCCAGAAGGGTTATAAAAATGGTCATCAATGGACAATCGGGGTTCAGATTTCTACATTCAGGATGGCTCTCTGAACCTGCGCGCAATAAACTTCCCTTTCCTGAAAGAGCTGATTCAAGTTTTTTTTAATTCTATAACATTTTCAATGCTTAGCATTGCAAAGTTGTTTACACTGTACCGCTGTCTCAGAGTTTCCAGCCAAAACGGGCAGCAGCAAACATGAAAATAACTCCGCATCTGAACCTATAACGCCGCCATTCTCCTCCAAGTGAATGGTGCCTTTGTGGACCCAACGATGACCTACTTTTGTAACCCAATCATCTAGTGTGGTCAGGGATCCTCTTTCTCCAACTTCTCCTTTTTGAAAGAACTTTGTTCCATTTGCAGCTAAACCAGTCTCTCTCTCTCTCTCTCTCTTTCTCTCTCTCTGTGTGTGTGTGTGTGTGTGTGTTTGTGTGTGTATCAGCTGGCTATCAATTTCTAATGCAGGATCCTTTCACTATCCTAAAGGCTACCATGGAACATTTCACTGCTGTGTCAGGAGGCTATGAAGGGTCAAAGTGGAATGGGGTGGGTGGGTTGTTCCTCTTTCTGGGAGGGGGCAGAAAGGCTGAGTCAATATTATCTTAAAGCAGAGGTTAAGGGCCAAATGGCACACAAGTTAGAAGACATTTCCATTTTTGGAAGACATTTGCCTCTGGCTGTTCCTTTTAGTAAGGAGAGATTTTGCTAGCAGCTAGCTATGATTTTGCCACTGGCCGTCCAAAATCCCCTCTCCTCAATATTCTGCCCTTCAAACTGCAACAAAGATAAATGACAAAGAAACAAAATTCAGCACATTTACTCTAAAGCAGGATTCTCAATTTTGGCAAGCTGTGTGGATTTGAATTCCCCAAATTCCCCAGTTAGCATTCCCAGAATTCCCCAGCATGGCTGGCTGAGGAATCTTGAGAGTTGAAGTCCACACTACTTCAAGTTGCCAAGGCTGAGAAACACTGGTCTAAGGACAGGACCAGCCTTGCTGGAAGAAACTGCCACGGGAAGATTATTGACTGTACGCCCTTCTAGAAGCAGCTGTACGTAGAGCTGAGAAGTAAGCAATTCTATTTGATTCCTCTTTTCCTTTTCCTTCCTGTTGCTTAAACCAGTGGTTCTTAACCTGGGTGATATTGCCCCCCAGGGGGCGATTTCATTTTTCAGGGGGGCAATGGAACGAAAAGGGGGCGATATGGGGGCGATGGAGCGAGAAGTTTTGGGGAAACTTTTGAGACTTTTTCGTACAGTGAATCGCTGTATATCTGTCGTAAAAAACATCAGATCGCTCGCTCTTAGTGGATTGAATTGTGTTTTCAAATGTTCCTCCAGCTAGCTTCAGTACAGAACGCCGTACATATGTGAATATGCATCGCTTATCTTCATGTGCGTTGCGCAGCAGCCTCTACCCATACAGTGGCACGCCATTGGCCAGAATATGGGAGATATGGGAAAAAGGCTGGAAATAAATTATTTGCATCGATAGGTCCTGATGACAATTTTAAAGAAAACAAAAAAAGTGTTTACATAAATTGAAGAATTATTTCCTATGTTGTGATTGAGAGGTTATGTTGGGGGAGGGGGGCGATGACAACTTCCTTATTGGCTCAAGAGGGCGATTCATTCAAAAAGGTTAAGAACCACTGGCTTAAACCACAGTAGGGAAAAGGAGGAAGAAGGTAGTACAAGCCAATGTCTTAACACCTTCCAAATTGTTGCAACTCAGCCGGTATGGTTTGGAGATTAGAGCTGTTGACTCAGCCTCTTTCTTTTCTGTATGACTGACCCCTAAACTAGACAAGCCTTGCACAACACACTACACACCCAGGTGAGGTTAGCTGGTTGGTCATTCAGAGTGACACACAAAACGCCTCAATATTATGTAGCTTTCAAGATTTGGAATAAGGACGGGTTGTCCTTGACTTAACAACTATTTGTTTAATAACTGTTTGAAGTTACAACTGGCAT